ATATATATATATATATATATATATATATATATATATATATATATATATATATATATATATATATATATATATATATATATATATAAAAGCCAATAATGTTAGGCCCTTAACTGGAATAAAAAAATGTTTGGTAGTATTGTTTCTTAAAATGAATGGTTCATATTATTTTGATTTGAGTATTTTTTTTAATGATTTTCTTTATTTACCCTCTATTATATTATTTTCTTCCCTTAAATAATCTAAATTCCGTTAGTATAAACTTTAATAACGGAATATTTCGTTAACTATTTATTATTTTTAACTTACTCATTAATTTCTATAAGAAATGTCTTAGGTTCAAACTCCATCCCAATTAGAGTTGGCATAATTGTTAAACATATACTACGAATATGTTAAAATGTATTACAAAAATATATAATATAAAATTTAATATAAACTTTGATCAAATAATTTGTCCGACTAAATACATAACATTCAAAGTTAAGCATCAAAGATTATAAATCAAGAACTTTAAAAATCATTTGATTTTTATGCATTTAAAAAATAAATAAAATTTAGGTTAAGTTTTTTTTTTCCTTTTAATTAATCTTCTTTTGATTATTTAGATCAGAACAAAACATAATATTTCAATTACACTTTTGCACTATTGGTATGATTACGTCGTTATGGTATTAATAATTTTTGTATGTATTTTTATAATGGTAAAATTGTACATTACTTTAAAAATATTATACTATTATTTTTTTATCAGACAAAATTGTTCTTACATCATTGTCAGACCTGCACAACCTAACTACAAAGTTGTTGATCATAAATACAATTACACTTGTACTCTAAAATGGTACGACCAATTTCCAAAGAATTGACAATGTTGACATCCCACTGGCTTCAATTGAACACGTTTACACATCATAATTTTATCAATGCATAAAAACTTCTAAAGAAATTTGTAAGTTAATTTTTACTATATCATTATAATAATATCTATTGTAACTATATATTTTGAATTATTTATTATCATCCTCTATTGACAAGAATTGTAACAATTGCCATTGACAAACTCTCAAAACAATTTGTCTCAACAACGAATCTAAGTAAAAAAAAAAAATCAATGATTTCATTATTGTTGATGAAAAGTATGTACACCAGTTTATTATTCTTATTAAATTAAATAAATTAGTAGCTACAACAAATATATATATATATATATATATATATATATATATATATATATATATATATATATATATGTATGTATATATGCATTTAATTAATTTAGAATTATATGTTTATAATGTCTTTATTTAAAAAAATTATTTATTATAAAAAAGTTAAAAAGATATATAATTTCATTAGTTATATTATCTTTATTTTCTACAATTCAAAGATTTATTACCTTCAAATTTATTAATTTATTATATTCACTACATTGTCCATTGTCTTGTTTTTACATTATCTTGTAATTAAATATCAAAGTTATAATACAAAATATGTTATATATATTTATTTACCAAGTATTTTATACAAATATAATAAATATTACTCCGTAATATTTTGTTCAATACTTTCACATGATAACCTACGACACACATCTCACAACGCATGAAACATGTAGGGGAAAAACTACTACTACCAAATATCAATAGGTTCTTGTAAGATAAAGAGTTAATAGTACAACTAAGATCCCATCATATACACAACAAGACAAATCTAAAGTTTCCTACACCATAATCTCATTGCACGATGAATCCATCTATGCTACCACCACTAACCCAATTGCACATGACACACTATCAATAAAATAAAATAAAAAAAAGAGGTCATCCACTGAAGATGAAGACAATGACAATGCTACCCAAAAGAGAATTAAGAAGAACTAGAGAAATTTAAACCAAAAGTAATATTTATTTAGACTTTCGTTTTTAGACTAAGTATTTAAACTTGCGTTATTACAAAGTTGCAAATATTTATTTTAGTGACAATATAATCAATCTCTCATATATTATCTTGCATTTATATACTTTCAATTACCGATTTAAATAAACAAATTCAATATATATTTACCTATGCATGAACATCTCTGATATAATATTGCATTGATATACTTTGAAATACTTATTTAAAAATAATCATTGGGCATTATTCCATTCGCGCAAAACGCGTAAAAGAACTATTATATTGTGTGGACCAAAAATATGAAGTTCAAAAATTATGAATATATAGGTTTATAATTATGAACATAGAACCGTGTCCACCTTGCAAGGTGGACACGGTTCCACATCATAACGATTGGGCTAGGCCAAGGTAGGTCCAAAGTGGTCATGTCATAGGCCTCTTGATAGCAATTACTATTGTGTGGACCAAAAATAAAAAGTATATTATTTGTGTACATAAAGTATATTATTTGAAAGTATATTATGTGAGTGCTGGAAGTAAATTATTTTGTATAGTACAAAATAATGTATATTTAACAAACAAATAATATATTTTTAATATATAAAAAATGTACCGTGTATTTAGGATAATTACTTAGGGCGTGTTTGGTTCAAACAATGAAATCAGAATGGTAATAGGAATTAAATATTTGGTAATAGTAAAATATTTAAGTATAAGGAGTCACTTTAATAGGAATTGGAATCAAAATAAATTAATAACTAATAAATACAGATATTTAATTGTGACTTATCCCTCTGGCTGATAGCTAGAAGACTAGCCAAATGGTTTGCTCCATCTATATGAGTGAGAATTGAACCCCCAACCTCATTCTCAAGGAACGAAGTGTTGAACTACCACACTAACCATGTTGGTTTTAACAACTAAAATAAAATTAAGAGTCTATTTGCTCTTTATATATCTTTTAAAATACAACGTAAATAAATTAGATGTTGGTTGACGGAAACAAAATAAAGAAATAAAGAAATAATAGTTAATAGATAATTTGATTCAGCGAATTCTACTATTGTAACAGTACTCTGGTGTAATTGTGTTCCTTAAAGCAATGGCAGATTGGCAGGAAATTGGTTCTCATTAGTTCAGATCAGATACATGGTTGGATGGTGTCCTTCAATTCAATTCTCTTTCTCTTTCTTCAATGATTGTGATCTATATATCATCCCTTTACTGTTTTTAGCTATCTTTCTCTGTAATAAAAATCTTCTCTCTTTCCTTATTGGATTGTGATGAGTTTACTATTTTGGGTTCGGCCTTTTGGGTTCAAACCCGGGCCATTTGGTTGGAGGGAGGGAATTACGTGGGAAAAGAATTGTAAATTCATGGGAGATAAATTACTGGAAATAAAGTAAGAATTTAAATTCCAGTGCTTGATTTACAGGAACAAAATTTCTAGGAATTTCAATTCCAGTGTTTGGTATACATGAAAATTGAAAGGGAATAAGTAGTATAAAGTCTAAAATGTCATTGTTGTTGTTAGGCATCAATGGGGGAAGGGATGTATTTAATTTGTTGGATTGGATGAATAATGTGGCTACTACAAAGTACAAACCATGTGTAATGTGTTCGGTATTCCATGGAAAGTTATATTTATGATGGGGGTGTGGGTGATTTGGTTCTAAGGAAACAAGTTGAAGTTTGGGCCGTTTGGCTATGGGTTTGGAAAGCCGCCCCACAATGGGATGCAGCAAATTTTAGGAAATTAGGCTTGGAAACGTGTGATATGTTGGGATTTTTTTCAAAATAATTAAATTTACACAAAAGGTGTTAATCGGTGTTGTGTATATCTTATTATGAAGGTGAATGTACAATTGTAAAGATGTGTTGGGATTTTTTCAAAATAAATTTACACAAAAGGTGTTAATTGGTGTCCAAGTATCTACTATACTAATAAGGGCAAATTATATTATGCACCAGGGCGTTGTGCGCCCTAGTCAAAACAACGTCGTTTTGATTAACTTTTTTTTTTTTAATTTTAGAAATCATGTTTCCCGTTTCGACGGTTAAATTCAAAAAAAAAAAAATTCCTTGTTTCGAATGTACATAAATTCATAACAGAATACACATAAATTCATAATAGAATATACATAATCTAACATAATACATAATACATGATACACATAAACTCATAACATAATACACATAATCTAACATAATACAAAATACACATAAACTCATAACATAATACACATAAACTCATAACAGAATACATATAATCTAACATAATACATAATACACAAACTATTAACATAATACACATAAAATCTGAACAATAAACATGACGTCGTTTTGGTCAGGGCGCACAATGCATTGTGCGCCCTGGAGCACGGTATAACGATTGACTAATAAGAGCCAATAAAATTAGGCCTATAATAGGTAGAAAAAAATGTCCGTCAAATTATTAAATTTCATATTATTCAAATTCTAATTTTTCCTTGAGATTTTCATATTTATCCTTAATTATTAACTGACTCATTGATTTTAATAAGAAAGATCTTTGGTTCGAAATCCATCACAATCAAAGTTGGTATAATTAAGGTCCTCACTCTATTTTACTCTTATTAAATTAAATAAATTAGTAGCTACAACAAAAAATGATACATATGTATTTCATTAATTTAAAATTATGTGTTTGCAATGTCTTTACTTTAAAAAAAATTATTCATTATCAATAAATTAAATAAGAGAAATAATTTTATTAGTTATATTGTCTTTATTTTTTCCAAAGCAAAGATTCTTTACATTCAAATTCATCAATTCATATTTATTACATTGTCCATTATCTTCTTTTTACACTATCTTGTAATTAGATATCAAAGTTATGATACAAAATAATGTTATATATTTATTTACCAAGTATTTTATTAATACCATGAAAAAAATAAAAAAAAAAAGTTTGAAGTCAATCATATTAACTACTTGGGGGATTTGATGACAAAAATAATATTCAAATAACCCAACAAATTGAAGCAGGAAACTACCTCATAATATCTTTGGACTACGTCATATTTAAAATGTTCAAATTTGTTCTACTTTATCAAATCTTATTCCTTAAACTAGGGATTTCTTTATCAATAATAACTCATTCAACAATAATGGTTGCACCAAATGAACCCCGAGCAGAACACCTAAAGGACTTGCATGCTTTTATGTTGATAATAATATGTAAATATTATTAATATCATTATCTTACGTAGCTACATTTAAAACTGTTAATGCAGTGCAATAGAGGATCGTAACACACTTGATGCATTGAAAAGATGCCAAGATTACAACAATGCTGCAATCAATTTGGCAAACCTAGAAAATGAAAAAAATTTAAATTAAAATAGCCACCGTTGATTCATTTATTTATCCTGTATGTAAAATAATTATTGTGTATTCATTAAATATATTAAAACTAATATAAATTTATAAGTAATTTCATCTTCTAAACTCAACCTGCTTAGATTAATTACAACCAATATCAACATCAACATTTACAACAAAAATACTAGGTATATAGGATGCAGTCGCTATTTTAAAAAAGTTTATGCACAAAGTGGAAAACAATTTAACTCGAAGGTTAATATTAATTCAATAAAAAAATTAAAAAAAATACACACACACAAAATAAAGTACTACACTCATTCATACTAATTCTAAAAATATGAACTTGAAAATGAACATGTACAAAATGGATATGGAAATTATTGGTGAAACTGGACACGTTGCAACATCAATATTCGGACAACCTACAAAGTTATTATTGTTACTATCAAGTAAACAAGTTATGAAAATAGAACAAGAGATACTACTCATGAATCTTATACAAATATGATAACTATTAATATTTTATTCAATACTTCCACATTAAACATGCAGGGAACAAACTACCACTTCAAAATATCAACATACGCTTGCAAGATCAAGAGTTCATCGTACAACTAAGATCTCATTCATATACACAACAAGAAAAATCCACAATTTCCTACACCATAATCTCATTACATGATGTTGTCATCTATGCTACAAACAGTAACCCAATTGCAAATAACACACTACCAACAAAAAGGAATAGGACAAATAGTGAAGATGAAGACAATGACAATGTTACTCAAAAGAGAATTAAGAATACTTCGAACAATTCAAATCAAAAGTAGTATTTTTTTATACTATCATTTTTAGATCAAGTATTTAGACTATCGATTTTATTAGTGATGTTATATTTTGTCACATTATATTCCTGTATAGTTGTTATGTTTGATTTAGTCTTAACTACTAGTCTATTGTATAGGAGAGGTTAGATTAGTTAGGGAAGTCTTTTGTTCCTTTTGTAACTCTATGTTTCTCGCTGTGATTCTAAACACGAGAATTATTCATTCATCTGATATCAGTTAGCGATAGGTAATTTTTTTCCTCTCTCCTCTCTCCAAAATTATGTTGACGAACTCAAGTGAACGCACAATGACCGCTGCCACCGTACCGTCGTCATCCACCCCTAATTCCCTATCCATGGCGCATCACTTTGTGTCCATTAAGCTCACCGCGCGTAACTTCCTCTTCTGGCGCACACAAATAATGAATTTCCTATATCATCTTGCATTCATATACTTTGAGCTACATATTTAAATAAACAAATTCGACATTCAATTACCTATGAATTTCTCCTATATAATCTTGCATTGATAAACTTTCAAATATTTAAATGTAAACATTGGGTATTAACCTATTCACGCAATGCACATGTAAAACTAGTATTTTAATATAAAAATGAATATAATTAACAATTGTAGAGATGTGTTGAGATTTTTTATTTTATTTTTTTCAAAATAAATTTACATAAAAGGTGTTAGTTGGTGTCCGTGTATTATCCTAATATAAAGACGAATGTACAATTGCAGATATGGAAGTGTTAAAAGATTGAATAATATTTTCAAAAAGATTGAATAATCATAGAAAGCTACTTCAAATTGAGTGATAAAGGACTATCAAGGTGTGAATTAAAGGCGAATGCACAATTGTAGAGATGGAAGTTTTAAAAGATTGAATAATCATACGAAGCTACTTCAAATTGAGTGATAAAGGACTATCAATGTGTGAATGTGAGATAGATATTTGATTTAAGCAATGTTGAAAAAATTGCTAGGCGTCTGGAGACCGCCTAGGGCGCATAGAGCGTCTAGGCGGGCGCCTAGGACGCCTAGGCGGGCGCTTAGGCCGCCTAGGAGGCTGAGCGCTTAGCGCTTAGGCGCGATTTTTGCAACACTGGATTTAAGGGTATATTTGATTCTATCTTTCATAGACTGTTATGAAATTTAAAATTTTGGAGGTTTTGAATTCAAACTTTTAGTCTATAAAATCAATTATTATTCTATGGACCATTGTATATCATGAATAAAAGGTACATTTTTAATATATTAAAGGTATATTATTTGTATATTGAAGGTATATTATTTGAAATTACATTATTTGAGTACTGAAGATATATTATATTAGTTTATATACTATTAAATAATATACATTCAGTACATAAATAATGTACATTTAGTATATTAAAAAAGTGCATTTTATTCATGGTTCACATAAAAGCTTGTCCTTTAAAAGTCGGACGATATTCGATTAAGATGTTTAAAGAGTCATTTAAAGTCAGATGATATTTCATTAAGACTTTTAAAGAATTTTTAAAAGTATAGTCCATTTGTATTTAAAAAGTTATGAACTTTTAAAGTCCACTATTATTTTTTGAATCTTCATCCTAAAAGAATATGAATTTCATACTATAATTATTCTAAGAATACATTGTTTTCTCTTTACTTAAATCATACCCTATTTGTTGTAGCACAAATTTAATTTTCTATTCCAAATCTATATTTTTTTAATTAAAAAGTACATTTTATTACAAGCTGATCTACTAATAATATGTATGCATGAGACAAAATTTTTCTCTATTTTAAGAATTTAAATGCAAAAATTTTATTTTCTAATCAATCTTATAGGAAAAAAAATAATGTTTCAAAATATCTATGAGAGTTTACAAGATGAATAGTTTATATATAACAATAATTGAGGTCTCAATCATATGTTACAAATTAGAAAAAAGTTCGGGTTCGGTTTGGAATTAGTTTGGTTCAATATTTGGTTCGGTTTAAGAACCTCAATTTTTAACATTTCCGAATTTTGCAAATACACTACCCAAATAATACACATTTACATAGTCTAAATCCAAAGCCTAAACTTTTATAACAAAATAGCAATCTAAAGTTCAAACACACTACTAAGTACTAATTACAAACATCATTTGGTTTTTTTTGCCCAACCGACCGACCGATCTTCAGTTGGCTCACTTGGAATGTTTTGTTGACAAGATAAAGAATCATCCATTTGTATAGTTAATATTTGAAGAACAAGTGTCAAATATTGTATATTTAACTTTTTGACACAATTTGTCATTGCTTGGCAAAATATATTCTCAATGCAGTGCACTGGAAATATATTCTAGTACTGGAAAATAATTCCAATGCACTGAAAATCAAAATTAGAATGATGTTGATGTACATTAATTTCATAGAAACATGAAACTAAAAAAAAATACTGAATATTGTAAGAATAACTCAAGTTAGAGATAATTGGGAGACAAAGAACAATTGCGACAAACTATAAAAGTACGTGCAAAGTAGAGAACAAGAAATAAAAAAATCAAATAAAAATTTTAATAGATATAACAGTGAAAATAAGATCAGAGCTGAACGGTGGAGCAGACAACAAGAGACATGAATTTATTATTATTATTATTATTATTATTATTATTATTATTATTATTATTAACAAACGGTATTCAGTTTGGTTCAATTTTTTACAGAATCATTCGGTATATAAGAATCCATTACCGTTCAGTTGTTCGGTATATTACCGAACCAGATTAGTTGGGTTTGGAAAAACCAAACCAAATTGCACACGCCTACTTTGACATGTATGTTGACTATTTATTAGTATTATAGTGTGACTTATTTATTCATTTTATTTCCTTTTTTTTTTTGAAAAAAATGTTTTTAATCAATTAATGCATATTGGATGACAAATGATACGTATTTTAAAAAGTACAAACGGCATTATATTTTTTAAAAATACATATATAGATAAATCGTATATATTTATTTTGTTTTGATATTGTTGGTAGTAAATAAGTCGATACACAAAATAAAATTTAATTTCAAAAATTAATTCTAACTACAATTTTGGTATGAAACCAAAATAATTAGGGATTTAATTTATAAAAAATTAATTCCACCAAACTTGGTATGAAACTAAGAAATATTTATATAAAATATATAAATACTAATAAAGGGTTTAATTTTCTAACATGAGGTTATAACCAAACGGAAATAAGGAAAGATCCAAGTTGTGTGTAACACACACTTCCCTTAAAACTGATTCGATACCTCCTTAGGTTTTTAGGAGAGCTGTAGCGTCAGTTTTCCAGGATAAAATGGATCATGACCTTAAGTTTGAACATTCAAATAAAAGGTCTGGGGAACTAGAACAACAGGCTGAGAACTTCGTACTTTTACAGAAGTGTTGGTAGAAATTTTAGAAGAAAATGATTTTGAGAGAGGAAGAGAGAAAAATTCAGATTTTGACAGTTCAAAATCAGCAGGACAACAATCTGCCAACACCAAGCTTTTATAGGGGATAAAAAAAAATAGCATTAATCCATGACATTAACAATTGAAATAAATTCAGTTTTGTAACCTTAGTAATAGACAATCGGTAATCAATTCTAAAATTCAAAATTAGAATTAGTTTACAATTAATTTCATAACATCAAAATTAATACCCAGAACGGTACTCCGAAGAGTAACTCGAATGGACGAATTCGAAAAGTAACTACTCTGAATGGTACCCGGAGGGTTACATACGAGTAGTCAACTGTTTGGTCAAACCGAACAATCACATTCGATACAAAAATGTTCGTGCACACGTACACAAGTCAAGCATTACTAAACTCATTTTAAGGAAGGTTTTGATTTGCACCCCTTGCGCGCGCGAGAGAAAACCTCTACACTATACAATTCAACATACCTTTAAAAGACTCTTGTATATATAGCGGTGCAAACTCACTTTCCAAACCAATGTGGCATGTGGGACAAGTGCTTTTACAAAGTCTTTCCACCTTTATTTTTCAATTCAAATGGATCTACTTTGAGAATCAATTTTTCATTCACCCATCATCCGTTTTGAGTGTACAATATATCAATTTTTTCATTTTACTGCGAAGTATCCAAATCCACTTTAATCTGACCTAAATTGATAGTGGACCTCCTATATATTTATACTATAAAATAATTACTTAATTAAATGTCATTTTATACTAAAAATTCTAATAAGTACATCATTGAAATCTTATCTTGCTACAACCTTATCACATAAAAATCACAAAAGTCAATTTGAATGATGAGCCTAACTAGGGGGTGCGCCACCTCCATTGTTTGCAAGGTGTCATAGAAGTTGACCTCATTGTCCTCTACCCTTAGCTAAGCTACAAGGGTGCATTAATTTTTTTAAACTATGGTCTTTCTCCAGCATAATATAGGCTCTTATAATAAAAACATAATCTTTCAAACTTTGTTAGAATTAATGCACTCCTAATGTTCCAAAAGAATTGGACAATTTTTTTTTAAATGCTAATAATTGTACTTGAAATTAAGTGTATTTAATAATTATTGATCATTGTAAATTGTCTGTATCCACTGCTCATGTTCACAATACATCACTTTTTTGACAAGATAAATATTCATCACTCTTTAACCAATACTCTTACCGTTTGTTTGATTCACGGAAAACATTTGAGAAGAAATGAAAATAAAATTCTATGAAAAAGATTATAAGAAAGATTGATTCTATTGTTTGGGTGATGAAAAAATTACTAAAAATATTGACTGCATTATTTGGTTAGGCTTAAAATCATAAGAAATAATGAGTATAGATACCAATTCAATATGTCTCTTTACAATACTAATAATAACAATAATAATGATATTAAAAATAATAGTGATATTTAATTTGAAATATTATAATTTATAAAGGAAAAATTATCAAATAAACCCTCAAACTTTATGCAAAAAAAAAAAAAAAAAAGAAAAAAGAAAAAAAAGAAGCAAT